CTTGACCTTAGATTTTCTTTTCTTAAGTAAAAGTACATGATATCTCTACTATCTAAAGTCTCTTTTAAAAAACTTGATTTCAATATTTTATTTAAATCTAGCAAATGCCTTTCATAAGTACATTCTATACTCCCTAGACCAGTGTCTTTCTGTCTTTTAACACTATTACTGACCTCTCCAATGTTTTGTGAAATTGGTTTTATTTCTTCATTAAGTATTTGATTGATTTTTGTCAGCGATTTAACCAGGATCTAAAAATTGTCAAAAATCAATCAAATATGAATTTAATTTCTTTACTTAAAAAAGAAAATTCCAATTTTCTAATTCTGCCTGTTTTTTAGTTTTTTTAAATATTTCTATCTGTCAAAGAATTAATCCCCTAAAATACATAGTAATAGAACTTCCATATGAACCAATAGTCCAATTACCCTCATAACACAAAACATTAATTCAAAAAGATATATGTATACTTACCTCTATTGGCAAGTACAGTAACATTATTGATCTCTTTGGGGAATTAAGTTATGATTTTATTGCCATCTTGTATTTATTCAATTTTAGATTTAATTGGTTTCTAATATTATTTTCCCCCTTTTTAAGCAAAGTAAAATTATTTTAGGTAAGAAAGTGAAGGCAAGGTGAGAGATAGAGACATACTTTTAAGTGAAAACATGGGTTTCTTCAGAAGGAAGGAGCCAAGTTTAAGCCATAAAGTCAAAGAAACAATTAAAATTGCATGCGACTTCACATGGGGCATTCACTCATTTCTTTCTTATTCCAAATTTATTATATCTCCTTTTTTCTCGTTTATGTTTTTGGGATATCTTACTTGGGCAATTGATTTTTCTCCTCCCGGCAAGCTACCGAGAGTATCTCGCCCAAACGGCAGAGCATGGCAAGCTCCCCGTGACGTATTCGATATGCCAAACACAGTAACAACAAAGTCTCCAATGGAGCCGTTACAGGGCCTGCTAGAGCAAATCGAGAACAACGGGAGGCCCTTTACCTTTTACCTTACATACAAATACCCAAAGCTAAAAACTTACTTTAACCACAGTTTTAGCTGCATCCTCACTGATATTTTCGTTTCTACCTTCCCTAAACTGAAAAGAAAATCTAAATCTTGTGGTTTAGTCTTTGATTCCTGGATAATATAAAGGTATATTTTTAAAACTCTTCAAGTATTTGCAATCATGCAATATATCTACTATCAATTTTGAAATTTATCGTGTTGCAATAGGAAACAGGCATATTAGAATATGCACTGCTAGAAATATCTCAATCCTATAGTATTCCAATCACACAAGATCCGTCCTCATTATCAGGAAGGCGCCAAAGGAAGTCAAGTGAGTGAACTCGTTACATCCTTGGCAACACATAGAGGCCCCAGAGCAGCAGCGGGAAGGCGGATTCTAAATTGTGGTAGGGAGAAAGCAAAGCAAGCCTGACCAGGACAGCAGAGTTAGGGGAGCAGCTCCTCTACTTCTATTCTAGGAAGTGAAAACATGATTCTAAGGATAATGTTGGGATTTATGTGCAGTGCAGCAGGTCAAGTGCTCGTCTGGCACAGGACTCAGGCAGGTTCTCTCCCTGCCACCCTGTCTGGTCCGGGAACTGCCCCCAGGAAGGATCCCTGAGCTCAGAGTCAGGAGCGCGCCCTGGGAGCCCCCGGGAATGGCCAACACCCCTCCCTTCCCCACAAGCCACCGCCACAAATTCCAAATGAATAGTGAATCTCGAAATTATTCTAGGGCCGCACGATTTTTTTTCTTATAGTACTTAAAAAATGTAGACATAGATATTCACGATAAAGATAGGACGGAGACGAATGTAAGACACACACACACACACACACACACACACACACACACACCCAGACCCTGTACTCAGTGCCACCATACCCCACAAAAAGCAGGGAAATTTTTTTGCTGTCTTTGATATATGAAAAGTGTGTGTATACACACATACATGCTGTACATACACATTGAGGTAGAAGATATAAAGGAGCGTGTTAAGGAATTAGCTCACGTGCTCTGGAGACTGGCAACTTCAAAGTCATGGAAACTCAGTGCTGGTCTATTGGCAAATTTCTTAATCCTTTGGTAGATGGTCTTTATCTATGAAAGCCTTCAATTAATTGGATGATGCTCATCACTTTCTTAAGAATAATATACTTCCCTCAAGTTCTGCTGATTTAAATGTTAATCTCTTTTTAAAGAAAATACCCTCCCAGAAACATCTTGAATAATGTTTGACCAAATGTCTGGGTGCTGTAGTCTAGCCAAATTCATGAAATTAGCCATCATGAGAGGTTCGCTCTCCTCCATCAGAGTGCTACTGTTCTTCCTTGTCCAAATATGTTCTACTTCCCTAACACTATAAATCTATTCTTATCTCTTATCTGAATTCTTATAGCCTTTTTACTGTGTTAAGGAATTACAGGGCGTAAAATGATGTTGAAAGCATTAGAAGGTATATTAGTACACATTTTTATTCTATCTGTGTTTATGACCTGTGAATCTCTTTAGAAAAAGAGATAAGGATGCATTTTACGAGTAACCTCTGTGATGTAAAGAAAACAGTAATAATTGCAATATTTAGTCAGTAAATAATGAGTTTCTGTGTGCACTATAAGCTTCACAAACTTATGTCTACATTTATTTCTTGTTTTTCAATTTCTCTGATAACTTTATGGTGAAAGATACATAGTAGTTAATGATGAATAATGAGGGAATTAAATATACTATACATTTCTATTAGGGAGGGGCTCTTAGGGGTCTGAGTGACAGTCCAACGGAAAGGGTGCTTACCTTGTACCCAACTGACCTGGGTTTGATTCCCTGCACCCCATATTATACCTTGAGTTCACCAGGAGTGATCTGTGAGCTCAGAGTCAGTAGTAAGTCCTGAATACCACCAGTTGTGCCCCATACCTCCCCAAAAGAGGAGCTCTTATTCTTCTTATATATGCTTCAAGTACTTGACATAACCCTGGATGTGTATTAATTGCTCATCATGTGTATTGCACTGACCCTAGCAAAAATTCAGTAGAATCTCTATTAACACCTGTGGATGAATGCTATTATTTGCTAAAAGAGAACATTCACTGTTAGCAGATGTGGTGTAAGGTTGTACTAAGTAAAATTTAAATTTGTGGTACTTTGTTTTATTCAAATATAATTTAATTTGCCCAACTAACAGTCCTTCACTTGAAATCTGTTGATGTATCACATAAAAATTAAAGTGCTTCATATTTAAAGTAAAATTCAGTATTCTCTGCACATTTAAGCAAAAAAAAAAAAGGCAAAGTATCATTCCAGTACCCCTGTAACCCTACAAAAATTAACGTTAAAATATGTATTAATAAACCCTCTTGGAGAGCCCAGCAAGCAACCGAGAGTATCTTGCCCGCACAGCAAAGCCTGGCGAGCTACCCGTGATGTATTCAATATGCCAAACACAGCAACAACAAGTGTCAAAATGGAGACGTTACTGGGCCTGCTCGAGCAAATTGATGAACAGTGGGAGGACAGTGTAACAGTGTTATATATTTAAATATCTGCTCTGTGTATAAAATTAAAATCATTTATTTCATACATTTATACCTGTATTCCAGGGACAAGATTCCAACACACTCGTTTTTCTTTTTCAATGCTTAATTTTCAGTACTTGAAATGGATGTATAAATATGGCTACTTAAAGAAATTTGTAAGATTACTCAATGAGTTCACGCATAATTTTGGTAAATAAGAAAGCCAAGAACTCCCTGCTTGTGGACCGTCTTGGGGCTCTGGGGATTTCACTCACCCAAGCAGATGCCTTACCTGTCGTTAGTTTAAAAATTTTTAAATTCTGAGGTAAGCTCATATAAAATTTAAAATATAAAATATGAGCTTACATATGTAAAATTTTTTCCCTCCACTTGATTTAAACACTGTGATTTGCAGAGTTGTTTGTGACAGGTAAGGCATGATTATTATCATAAAGGGATATAAGTATAAAATTAAACTTAATGTAATATACTTTAGAGTTGAACACTTACTTATGTAAATGAGTATAGGCATTTTATTATATTGTATGAAATGGTTTTAATTTCCTTATATATATAGGTTAAAATCATATAGCAATTATAAAGCAGCTATCTTTCTTTTTTTTTTTTAGTTTTGGAGGCCACACCCTGTGATACTGGGGTTGGGTTACCCCTGGCTCTGAAGTCAGGAATTACTCTTGGCGGTGCTCAGGGAATATGGGGTTATAAGAATTGAACCTAGGCTTACCGGGTGCAAGGCAAATGTCTTCCCCACTATATTATCACCACAGATTCCTGATTTATTTTATAATCATTCTATTTGCCATTTCTTTAAGTTTTGTTGGAATATAAAGTAAATTTATTGTATGAATAAGGGGGCAGGCTGGGAGTGAGAGGGAAATTGGGTACATTGATGGAGAGAAGGACACACTGGTGGTGTTGGGACACTGAATGTTTAAAACAATTGTAAATAAATGAACAACTCTGTAAATCATGGTGTTCTAACAAAATTTTAGAAATTTAATAAAAATTCCCTGCTTAAAAAGAAACACACAGAAAAAAAAAGAAAAAAGAAAAAGGATTGTTGCAAGGGGGAAAATCATGTGCATATATTCTTTGAAAATTGATGTTTCATTTAATCTACACAATAAAATAAAAATTCAGAAGTAAAATACTATCAGGCTGTAACTTTTATTTTAAAAATGAGATCAAAAAAGAGTAGTGTCTGGGGCCAGTTACAACTATGTCTATGCCTGACACGAGTGAACATGGAGATGACATCTTGTGCAGAGATGTGATAACGTATATATTGTTCAAAGCCTCAGGTCTCATGTTTATATATGTGAATCAAAAGGAGAGATATGAGAAGCTACTCAGTTAAGTATATAATGCTAGGAGACTTGCATATTTATTTCCTTTCTCTTACAAATTTGACAGATATGATAAGAGCATCTACTATTTCTCTCCCTAGGACCTGATTTGTGACCTGAAGGAGAATCTCTCAGATCATTTCAAAGATGTTATGGTTGGCCTCATGTACCCACCTCCATCTTACGATGCTCATGAACTCTGGCATGCCATGAAGGTAGTGTTCTGATGCAAATATATATATATGTGGGTGTGTATATGTAGATGTAGATGTATATATATATATATATATTTATAAAACAAGTACAAGCTAATAATTTGGTAGGTGGGGAACTTCCCTATCATATAAATACAAATGCCAAGTGAGAAAGGTGGAAACAACTAAGAAAAAATATAAAAAAAATTTGTAGACAAAAAAAAAAAACACCACTATCACCACCACCCACCCCCAAATTCCAGGGATTGGACTCATGCTTTTCTTTTGCTGTATGAACTCAGAATCACTGATCCAAATCCAAGCTTAGCTACTAAAAGGAGAAAATAAAAAACAATTTATATTTCTCTATCCCCATTCCGTGTTCATATATTAAGTGGAAAAGTTATAACATATGAACCTCTAAATTCTTTGTGAAATTGTATTCATGTAAAAATTTGATATGGACATCGTAAAAAAAATAGGGGACATTTTTATTTGTTGCTGACCAGATGAAAATGCTTCCATTTTAACATTCTATAATGGATTATAGAATGTTAAAGTCCTTCTGAAAATGATATACTGTCAAGAAAATAATTATTAGAGATGAATATTTACATGATGTATGAGTTAATAAAAGTGTGCAATCCAAATGCTTCAGCAAAAGGTAAAAAATAATTGACATTTATAAAAATCAGGAATAAAACATCCTTGGTGAGTTAAGAGACTCATGTTCTAATTTCAGCTTGCCCAAAACTAATATCCTAGAGGCAAAATAGAAGTAATTAGTGTCAAAAAGATTTTATTATTTTTTCATATTATTTTAAATTGCCCATAGTATTGATTGTAAGTGAAGAAGAGATTTATGTAAAAATATCTTCTCATGGTCAAAGAGCAGAACCCCATCTGCAGTTAGGCTTATCTCTTTTCCAAATACACTTTCTTTATCCTCTGCAACCTCTCAAAACTCTAAGGATATTATATTACCTTTAGTATAGAAGGTGCACTGTATTCCCCATAAATATACCTATATAATTCCTTATTTTTCTGTTTCCAGGGAATGGGTACTGATGAGAATTGCCTTATAGATATATTAGCTTCAAGAACAAATGGAGAAATTTTCCAGTTGCAAGAAGCCTATTCTATGCGTAAGGATATATACATATGTTAATATATTTTACAGATATATATGCTTTATATCATTCTATCACTATATTCCCATTGTTCATCAATTTACTCAAGCGGGCGCCAATAATGTCTCCATTCATCCCAGCCCTGAGATTTTAGCAGCCTCTCATTCGTCTTTCCCAATGTTGCTGCATTGGAGGCTCTTTCAGGGTCAGGGGAATAAGACCTGTTATTGTTACTGTTTTTTGCATATCAAATATGCCATGGGGAGCTTGCCAGGCCCTGCTGTTGTTTTTATATAAGACAAAAATTATTATAGTTTATGTATATTAAGGTATTTGAGATATACTTCAAATATGACCCACAAGAGACCAATGAACTAAAATCGATGATTGGGACAATAAAAATGAGTAATCAAGAAAAACCAAACTCTAAAAAAGAAGAATTCAATGTTTTCAATGCCAGTATTTTCAATAGGAAAGCCCATTCATTTATCTCCTAGATAAAGTATTCTAGGAATACTTTATCTGTTAGCAAAGAAAGATCAGGAATATAGACAAAGTGTAATAATCACTAAGCAAATTCTACATAGATGTTTAGCTACTTTACTATACATAAATTTAATTATTACACTCTATTAAAAATATGTCTTTAAAATATTTTAAGAGTTAGCTATTTTATTCTCAAAAAGAGTATTACCTTAAATTTAATTGTACCACATGTTGTGTGACACTGAATGTTTAAAGTTCTAGACACTCAGCTCTAATGTATTTAAACAAAAAAAAAAGCTTTTCCTAGGGAAATGAAGGATTTCTCATTTAAAAATCAAAATTAAACAAATGATTTTGGGAAAAGCACTGGGCTTATATGGATTATATGTTGATAAAATAAATAGGTAAATAAAATTCTCTAAATTTTGAGATTTAGAAAATATAAAAAGACCATTTTTAAATTTTTGAAAATAAAGATAACATTTTTAGGACAACAGGTATGCGTTGATATTACTATTAGGTAATAGATTTATTTTGTGGGCAGCTTACCTAATATGAGTAAGGTATCAAAGACAAATGACAACAGATTAATTGTAATTTTTGTCTGACTGTTCATACCTGAGGAAGTAGCGTTAACATATCCAGGGTGCATTGAAATGTGGTAGTATAATAAATTATATGTTTGACATGCATGTTTTTCTGTCCAGAATACAATAATAACCTTCAAGAAAACATTTACTCAGAGACCTCAGGACATTTCAGAGATACTCTCATAAACTTGGTCCAGGTATGAAATTCCAAAACTCACATCATTTTTTGTCATATTAAAAGCATACTATTTAAGGTTAGCAATGTTTAGGGAATATTCCTGGTTCTCTGCTAGGAGATTACTCCTGATAAAGCACAGGGGTCCATAAGTGGTGCTGGGAATCAAAATGGAACTGATTGCACGAAAGGAGAAAACAAGCACTTAATGTTTATTTTTATTATAACTATTAATTTTTTATTTCCAAAATTAGGGCAGGGTAAAGAATAAGAGTTCAAGGATTGCAATACTTGCCTTGCATGAGACCAATCTGGATCAACCCTCAGCACTCCATATAGTTTACTAAACATCTCCAAGAATGACCCCCTCAACGACAGATCCAGAAATATTCCCTGAACTCCATTTGGTCTGGCCAAAAAAGAGACATAAACTCTAGTATACTTTAAGAAATTTAATGGTAAAATCTGTATAAGAATATATATTGAATTCCAGCTTATAAATAAGAATAATGAACCATCACTGTTCTCAATGATGCCTCAATAATACCTACCATATATAAGATATTTACAATTATGTTCAAGTAAGTATATATTCTTCTGAGGACTTTAAAGATTAAAATATTATAGTTATAATTTATAAGCATAATTGATAGTTAAAATTATAATTCTGTATTTTAGAACAAATAAATATTGTATATAAACTTCTCAAGGTTCTACTATGTGACTGAAATAGTGTGAGAAGTGTTTTTCTCAGGAAATCATTATTAAAAGCTATAATATTGTTTAATTAGCACTACTGAAATGAAAATCAGAAAATAAAGAAGTACTAGTACCTAGATTTCTGTTTAAAGAGCTAGTAAGGTCAAAATCCAGATTTGAATGAAATCTCAGTGCTTGCATATAATCCTCAGTAATGTCTTTATGTATGTTTTATTCATGAATTACTTAATAATGTAATAATAATATAGATTTAAATATAATTGTTTTAATCTTAGGCAAATTCTTAAACGTGCCCTTTATCAATTCAGCAAAAATATTCAAGAATATAGAGAGTAAGTGTACATTCTTAACCACCAAAAGAAAATCTAGATATTTGTAACCAGGGAAATGAGCTTAAGAGTCCATATTTTGATTAGGTTATATCTAGGTATGTGTGTGATTATAATAAAACAGACTTTTATCAATCTTTTTTGAAGTAAAACTGCTCTGTTTTGAGATTATGAGGAAGAAATTAAGGTTTTCCTCTTTTTATTTCAAGAACATAACCGAATAGTTACATAGGATTTTATAAAAAGATAGAAGTTTGTTTCATAAGGGATATGAAATTAAGATAAAAGACCATTGACATTAAAAAAAGAAGAAGAAACAGGATCCCTTTCAGTGGGAAGAAAGGAGAAGATAGGTCCATTGAGGGAGAGAGCCAGAACCCAAATGAAGAGTCTCAATTTATAAAGCTGCTTTGACCTCAGTAAATAACCGTTAGCTAGAAATTAAGAATTCCCAGATTGACAAATTGGGAGGAAAATTGGGGATACTTATGAATAAAAAGTCACACTGATGATATTGGAACACTAAATGCTTGAAACAGTGTTGAACAACTTTATAAATCATGGTATTTTTTAATAAAATATTTTTTTTAAAAATTCCCAGATAAAAATTTGAGATTGGGGCCAGAGAGATAGTACAGGATGTTAAGACACTTGCTGATTCAATCCCCAGCACTGCATATGGTCCTCCAAGCTCCTTCAGTAGTGATCTCTGAGCACAGAGCCAGGAATAAATCCTGAGCACTGCCAGGTGTGATTCAAAGCCCAAAGATGAAATGCAAACTTGTCTAGTCTTTCTTTTTTCTATGAATCACTTGATTATGTGGTTACAACTTCCAAACTCTGAGAGGTTCATCTTGACCTTGCGTTTCCTAAACTGTTGTGCTAGCACACTTCTGGCTATGTGTTGGAGGTGGTACTTTCTGTTGTAACATTAGGGATCCTGGACCACAGAGCTGCAGAGAGCACCCTTAGGACATGTGAGTGGCACCAAGGTTGAACTCATGACCTTATGCTAGCAAAGCAGGTGCATTTAGCCACTAAGCCTTTCTCAAGAGTGCCAGGGATCAAACCATCATCTGTGGCATGTGCAAGGTAAGTGCTCTATCTGCTTTACTGACAGTCTGGCCCCTTGGAGGACCATATGCAGTGCTGGGGATTGAATCAGCAAGTGCTTTAACATCCTCTGCTATCTCTCTGGTGCTAATCTCAAAATATATATATATATATTTTTGAGCTCTGAAGATTTTCCATAGATTTCTAAATTTGACAGTAATGGCTCTGCAATATTTAACTCCTGATTTAGGATTTGGATTAAAAATTTATAATATTGGGAAAAGATACAAGATATAATAGGAATTGGGAAGTCTATTACTTCTCCTAAATATTGTGTCTGTACTATACATCATTCAGTGGGAATATGTTTGATATTTTACAAAATAAATATGCAATTATTTCCTAATGGATCATGATATTTAGAGCTAATAAGTTCCAAACACATAACTGCACAAATATTTCCCATCTAGTTGGGATCATTATCCTCTGAAACCAATCTCTGTCTTTCTCCTTCTCTATCCCACTATCTATCCTTCTGTCTTATATATCTTGTCTCTCTCAAGACACACAGCAGATTAGAAATAGAAATTCTGGATAAAACAAAAAGAAATATTCTTTATACTTTGTTATAATTTAGATATATTTTGGATTTATTATTAATATTTTTGATATTTCAATTATAGATCTTTGTAAATAAAGGGATATAAACCAATTCTTGATTCAATTTTTCCCCTGTATAAATATTCTGAATGTATTCAATTGTTATAAATGTTTCCTCCTTCTCCCTCTATTTTTTGAATGTCACAGTCAAAGGAAAGTTTTCTTCCCATGATATCATTTTAACATCATGAAGATTGAAAGTGACTTCTACTTTTGTGAATTAAGGCTTGAGGGAATTAGAGTATAAGGACCTTGAGGTATTACAAAATGAAGTGCTGAAAAGCATTGTCATACTTTCCAGGAGCGATCTTTTACTTAATCAATAAAATATTTTCTGACAGTTTTATTTATTGTAAAGAAGTCAGCAAGAAGTTACTCTTCTTGAAAACTAATGCTAATCATTGAATTGGTTCACAACACTTCCTGAATTCTTACAAGACTTCTCTAATTATCTGTCAAATAATGAGAAATTAGTTACTTAGAGATTAATTACTCAGTATGTGTAAATCACATTGGAGATGATGGGAAAGAATTTACAGAGTAAACACATCTACTATAAATGAACCAATTGGATGCTTTTTCATTATCTTGATTTCCAGGATTCTCTTCTAGTCGGTTTATCAAACATTGAAAGTGAGGCCTATGGGTTTGTTATACAATCATCTGTAGTGAACATAATGCTCCAAATATTTTTAGTTAAATTTTAATTCCCTCATTTTCCTCCTTTCACAATTTATCTTCTCCTAAAGTCTATATTCATTTTTTCTATTTTTCTTGATATTTAACATACTTAACATGTTAACTTTATTTTAAAACCCTTTTAAAAAGTCATGTTAGACTCTTTTCTCATTTAAAAAAAAAAACTGTGGCCACACAAAATAGTAATGGGCCCTGGAACATTTCCTGCAGAGCTTCACCTGATACAACAAACTCTGCTGGAGCCAGAGTGCTCAGAGCCACAGGACCACATGAAGCAGTGCTGGGATCAGACTCGGGCCCTTGTTGGAGAAAAGTTTTTCCCCAAGGTTCTCAGACATGTTGTACACTGGGACCAGGCAGATGAGAGGCAAAGGATGAAGGGTCTGCAGAGAAACACCCTCTGGGAGCAGCTGATGGCTGTTCACTTCATTGCCAAATACACACATATTTTATAGAAGGTCTCAACTTACGGAAAGGTCTAATCAAATAAAGTTCAGTATTACTGGCCTGTCACCTTTCCAACTCTACTTTGCCTTGTCCAATCCCAATCAAGTCTAGATGCTGCAATTAGGATGACCTGCTAAGCATACATGACAGTTTCTGTGTCTTGGGCTCAGGTGACTAGGAGGTCAAGCGAGGCTCAAGGCCAGACATGTGGTGCTGACATTCTGTTCTTGACAATTTGCCCAGATACTACCTTATGCAGAGCCGCTCTTCTGTGCTGCTTTGCAAGGTTGGGTTTTATCTGCTCCAGTGTCTGTACCCACACTCCACAGGTCCTTGCAAGTGATAGGCCTTTGAACACTCAAGCTACCTCCTCGGTCCCTCTTTGAGAATATATGACAAAGTCAGTGGGATTCTTCCTTGGTAGAAAAAAAACAAAAAACAAATCAAAAACTTATTCACATATTGCTAAACCTGATGCCTAATAAACATATTCACATATTGATAAACCAGAGCTAGGAAAAGTCTCAGACAAGACCATGCTTAAAGAATGTAAGAAAGAAAAAGGCCAATTGATATCATATGAGCAAAGGGCAAGTACTGAGGTAGTTAAAAATGATGTCAGAGAACTAGCAAATGCTGAAGATTGAGGAAGAAGAAAATAAAGAGTTTAGGATGCTGGAAGCCAAAGTGAAACGGGGAGGTGATTGGATGCATCAAATCTTACTGCTGTCAAATGAAATGAAGGTTAAGAATTACCATAGCAAATTTTATTATAAAGTAAATGGCAATTAACATAGGAGATATAGTCTATTGTTTTCAGGATTTGTTGTCCGGTGTAAATTAAGACCATTAAATAATAACTGGAAGAGATTAGTCCTGATGGTGCTATCTGAGGTTTCAATTAAGAATGTTTACAAAGACAAAACTCTGTTTAATTTACAGGGAACCAGAGAGGAAGGATATACAGATCCTGTTATGGCTGGGCAGGATGCAATGGTAACTAGAACCAGCTCTCAAACTGCTTTAATGAACCCTTATAAACTGCTATGGGGTGATTATGGTGCTCCTTTCTGCTGTATGGTGTTTCAGGTTCTGTGGGAAGCCTGTCAGCAGAAGACAGGAGAACACAAAACCATGCTGCAGATGATCTTATGTAACAAGAGCTACCAACAGCTCTGGCTGGGTAATTATTAATCCAATCTATTCTTGGCTGCGTAACTGATTAGATTACATAATACAAGGCAAGTAGCTAACGGGAAAAAAACAGCAAAAAAGTTTACATAGAAACAGAATAAAGTCAGTTATCTCAAAAGCACCTATTTTCTTTCTACAAATATACATTATCTAATGACATTACTATTAAAAACGCCATATAATTCTATTTTATTCCATACCTTAATTATTTACACTTTAAATACTGAGGCCTTAAAAACAGTTTTATTGTTGTTTTATGAAGAACATACTTAAATATATTACTTATTTCCTAAGCAGCATATTAAAAGTTGTATTGAAAAGAGTATAGTGAAGCTAGTTTAGTTATAATGAATCAAGGTTATTATTATAGTCTGTGATGCTACTCTATTGATTTCAAAAGAACACTAATATTAACTTGCATGTTAACTTTACCAAAGTCCTGTGCCTTTACATTTTACGTCTTATATTTTATTTCTACATAAAAGTATATTAAAGTCTTAAGAAAATATCTTGGTCTACTTCAAGTCAACATGCAACATACATTTTACTTACTTAAGTCAATATGTAACATATATTTTACTTACTTCACTACAGACACACACATATATATATTTTTCTCTTGCATAACTTTAAAATATTAACATCTGATGTATAACAATTTGTTCAAGTTTTCCAGGAATTTCAAAATATTTCTGGGCAAGACATAGTAGATGCCATTAATGAATGTTATGATGGATATTTTCAACAGCTTCTAGTTGCAATTGGTAAGTAGTAATTTATTTGGTGTATGGCAGCTCCTATAATAAATGCTGATTGCCTGTGATTGAATTGAAAGTGCATGAGTAAATTCTTGATCAGACTATTTTCCCCTGAATTAAATTTTTCAGGAGATGTTAGCACTTTAGAGAAAAGTTCATTAGTCATAGACACAGGTATTCAAGAGGCCACCTAATCACTTAATAAATTAATATCCTTCCTTAATAACTGAATTAATGTTGATTCTAGGAAACATTAGCTTCTCAGACAGTCTGTCTTAGATAATTGGGATTTCACACCACTAAATTATGTTTACTGAATTCCATTCCCTTGTTTAGTAGCAAATAAACTCCATAAATATGGCTTTTTTCCCCTTAAAGAGGGAATATTGTTTTTAAGTTTTTTCTTTTGTTTCTGTTTTACCCCCTTTGTCACTATTTCTAATATATTTACCATACAGGGTAAATGCGACCATAAAATGTTAACAAATTATTACCTAGTTGTGATTTTTGCAGGGTATTATGAAGGATATGCTCTCTGCTCTCCTTTTTCTAAGAAAATTCCCTTATAGAGGGAGGAAGAGTGGTAGGTAACCATTAAAACTACTATGAAGTCTACCACATTGTGATGTGATATGACTTGACAATGTAGATTTCTGGAACACAAATGAGGGAACATTGTAAAATATTAAGATGTAGGAAAACACACATCAAACATGCACCTAGATACTTGTCAGATAAGTGAGCATTGTGATTTTCTATTCCTAGAACGACACTGACATACACAGAACTGAGATGTAATAGACTTTCTACAGTTTTTCTCATAAAGGAATCTTAATCTAAGTTCCTGTAAAAAGGATTTTATGGATTTCATGAAAATCCTTAAGTAATAAAACAAGATAATGAATATTTGTGTATTTTTCTGAGAGTAAGTTGCATGTATTTTGGCAGATTCTCAACATAAATCAGTGCTCATATAGTGCATCAAAATTTCCATTTTATAGTTGACTGTACCAAAATCTATCAGTTATAGGGTAGAGGAAAGAACCATTGGAAAATGGTGATGGGATATTGAAATACTGACATAGGGATTGGTGCAGTTGCTCTGTAACTATAAACAATTACTTCAATCAATACTATAATTAGCAATTAAAATAAAAATTTGTATACTTAAAAAATAAAATGTAACAAAAAATCATTTCTTCAATAACATTTATACTAGAGTAAGTATTATCTGAATCTCCTGAAAGTTCTTCACACAGCAGATGATAGTCATAGACAAAGCAGTTGGCATGAGATAGGAAATATTGGATATAAGAAATATCAGAAAACATTGTTGCTGACTTATTAATTCATAAATAAACATTTAATTTATATGTATTCTGGCTCCTAATTTAGACATTAGAGATAAAAGAGTGGAACCAACAAAAATATTTGTGTCTCTTAAAGAGGATTCCTAGGCATTGTCCAGTTGTCACGTTGATAGTTCTTGGAGTCATATGCAATGCTGAGGATAGAATTTCTCAACATGTAATTCACCTCTATAGCTATAGCTCTAAGGTAAAGGTAAAGGCCCTCCCGTTGATCGTCGATTTGCTCGAGCGGGCCCAGTAATGTCTCCATTGGAGACTTTGTTGTTACTGTGTCTGGCATATGGAATACTCTCGGTAGCTTGCCGGGCTCTCCGAGAGGGGCGGAGGAATCGAACTCGGGTCGGCCATGTTGGCCGCTTGTAAGGCAAACGCCCTACCCGCTGTGCTATCGCTCCAGCCCTCTAAACCCAAGATTTCTATTTTTAAAGTTTTTACACTTTAGCAGGGACTTAAAAGTATATGAGGGTCCAAGTATTAAAAATAAATTGATCTACTCAATTTGAAATAATCACATAAAATGCAACCCGTGTTTGACCAACCATTGCTACCTATTATTCTCTCCACATGTTGTTCTTTACACTACAAATTACAGAAATGCCCATCTGGGGGACATAAAGTAACAAAATAGGAGATTAATACCCAGGAATAGCCAAGATCAGTACCAGGAGGATTACTCCATGGCTTAGAGGCCAGCCAGGCATTCTAGGGGAAAGGGCAGCTCAGATAGAGAAGGAAGCACCAAATAAAGGGTGTTTGGAGGATCCTCCCAGGATGGGAGATGCATGTTGAAAGTAGACTATGGACCGAACATGATTGCCACTCAATGCCTCTCTTGCAGACCACAACACCCAAAAGGAGAGAGAGAACAAAAGGAAATGCCCTGCCACAGAGGCAGGGTGGGATGGGGTGGGGATGTGGGTGGGAGGGATACTGGGATCCACGGTGGTAGAAAATGGGCACTGGTGGAGGGATGGGTATTTGATCATTGTGTAATCGAAACCCAAGCATAAAAATTTGTAAGTCTACAACTGTACCTCATGGTGTTCCACTAATAAAAATTAATAAAAAATTTACAGCAATGCCATGGAAAGAGGAAAATGAAGATGAACGCAAGAGCTGGAGGCCCAGTAGTAATACATGTCAGGGTAGAGACGCAAAGTATATGTAAATATCTAAACCATTAGATCCAACACTGGATACAACACTACCATAAGCATGGGACTCAACCTATAATGATTAAACTTAAAAAATGCAACAGTCAATGAGCCTGAGTGATAGTACAGCAGCTAAGGTGTTGCCTTGCAAGCAGCTGACCTGGGTTTGATCCTTCGCACCCCATATTGTCCTCCAAACCTGCCAGGGATGATCCCTGATGGAAGATAATGACATAAGCTCTGAGCATCACCAGATATATCCGAAAAAAAGTAACAGTCAAGAAGTCAGGTTGGGGGTTGCAAGGGAATCTGGGATAAGTGGTAGAGGGATGGGGACACAGGTGGGAACATTGACTGCCCAAGAACCCATTGTAAACAACCTTGTTATCAATGGTGTTGAAATAAATGGGAAAATGCAATATAAAACAATCACATGAGCACTGTAGCACTGTCCTCTGTATGTTCATTGATTTGCTCAAGCGGGCCCAGTAACATCTCTATTGTGAGACTTGTTGTTACTGTGTTTGGCATATTGAATACATCATGGATAACTTACCAGACTTTGCCATGCAGACGAGATACTCTCGATAGCTTGCCAGGCTCTCCGAGAGGGGTGGAGGAATCGAACCCAGCACTGCTGGGCTGGCTGCGCTCAAGGCAAATGCCCTACCCGCTCACTCCAGCCCCAATCACATGAGACTCTAAAGAAAATTAGAGAAATAGTACAGAGGTTAAGGAACCTGTCTTACATGCAAGGTCAAATCCCTGTTACTACTAATGTCTCACAATCACTGCCAGGAACGAAACTTGAGAACACAGCCAGGAGACAATCCTCAGCACCAGCAAGTATGGCTCCCAAAACAAACCAAACAGTGGTTGGTATTATTGTTTGCCTGAGAAGTGATAGTCTTTCTTATACTGGTAAATATATATACAATGAATGCTATTAAATTATTACAATCACCAATTAACTTTTATAAAAGATAGTCACTGTCTAGGTTATAAGCTGTTCGATGTCATAGTAGTCTGGGTTAGATGACATAATACTGGACCAGACCAGTTATGACCATGCATTTTCCTCCTTGAGGAACTGTAGAGTTAGTCAAAAGTATACAAGGACAGTTACTCTAAATTCTATAATAATAATGAAAGCTTTAAGACTGGAGATAAATTTGAGATAAAGAGATCAATGTTGGCAGGAAGACATATTTTCCTCTCAAATCTTAGGAAGGACTAAGATTGTTCCAGTAGATGGAAACAGATGAAATGCAAATATAATGAATTGTATTGTTGCTTTCTAAGCTTATGTTTGTTTGCTTATTTTCATTATTCTGTGGGTTAAAATTTTGAAACAGGGTTCAATAAGTTAACATGGAAATCACAGAGGATCACACTTTGAGAACTGTAACAATAAAAAGTATTGTTTTTATTGTTTTCCCAATGATCTAAAGATACATTGTTACCTTCAAAATGCCATTTGCTTTCTTTTTTCTTTTTCAGTTCTCTGTGTTCGAGATAAAGCATCCTATTTTGCTTACAGATTATATAGAGCCATCAATGTAAGTCTGACCCGCATATTTCTCCAGAAACCATGTCTACTTTCTCAAAGGATATATGGGTTGGGAGTATTCTTTGCACTGTGCTCAGAAGTCCTCATAATGTTCAGGTTAAGTCCTGATCACTCCTGGCAGGCTCAGAAACAATACAGGGTGCTGGGGATCTAATCTGGGTTGGTTTTGCATAAGGCAAGTGACCTACTCACCATACTATTGATCTGACTCCTATTTTCAAAGTAATATTAGTAGATCATCTTCTTAAAAGTAAACATAATACTGAAATGGTATGTGAATTATCAATAATACCTGTATTGTATATCTGTTGGTATTCCATTTCCAAGCAACAAAAGTAAACCTGATTAGGTAATAATTCTAAATAGATTCTGAATTGGTAAATACTTTCAGTCACTTAATTTTTTTTCTTCTCCAATAAGCAAAATAAAGCTTCACTTCTGAATAGTCATAGGAAAAGAATTCTAGTGGTTCTCACACCAATTATTCTCAATCTAAGGGCTACTTGATTTTAATAACAAATAAAACTGTATACCATCTGTGTTTATATGTGTTGCAATACAATGAGATAAAAATACATATGATCACAAACTGTAAGGCAATAGAGAAGTTTATATATTCAACTGGTTAAATATTTTAAATTGGCCAAAACTTTTTTCACTATCACAACACCCAAGAAAACCTATGTTTTTCTCCAGTGGATTTCAAGTAACTGTTACTGTAGCACTGTCCTCCCATTGTTCAGGGCACCAGGAATCTCTCAATTTGGGCACCAGGAATCTCTCCATTGTGAGGCTTGTTGTTACTGTTTTTGGCATATCGAACACACCACAGGGAGCTTTCCAGGCTCTGCCGTGCAGGCGAGATACTCTTGGTAGCTTGCCAGGCTCTCCAAGCAGGACAGAGGAATCAAACCCAGGTCAGCCAAGTGCAAGGTAAATGCCCTACCCACTGTGCTATTGCTCCAGTCCACATTTCAAGTAAATTATATATAATTTAAATTAATAATTTATTATATTATTCGGGTTGGAGTGATAGCACAGCCTGGCAAGCTACCAAGAGTATCTCACCCACATGGCAAAGCCTGGCAAGCTACCCGTGATGTATTTAATATGTCAAACATAGTAACAACAAATGTCACAATAGAGACGTTACTGGGCCCACTCGAGCAAATCAATGAACAACAGGAGGACAGTGACAGTGACTATATTATTCATTTTAATCATCTCTATTTATGAAGTTTGTCGGTAGTTGTACATCCAAAGAATTCACAAATTAAAGATTGGCTTATGTTTACTGGCCACTGGATGTCACCAGTACTCCAGTGGAAAAGACAACTTGAACCTGCATTCTCAGGCAGTATTTTTCTCGAGCTAGAAGAGAGCAATTATTTCATGTGCTGTTTGAGTTCAATATCAGCAAGTATTCTGGGAACCTGAAATTCTTATTTTTAGAATATGCAACAATAATTTTAAAATTAAAATACTACTACTGTTTTACTCAGACATATCAATATTCATATAATAGGGATAAGAATCCCCCTCCTTGCCCCGAGAACAAAGTTTTGTCTATAAAGTATAAAATATTATTTGTATTTTATTTAGAAGTGGAATGTGAAGATTGACAAGACTGGAAAAGGGAGGGACTGTTCCAGAATTAGGAGAAGATTCAAGGCCAACGTCAAGTCTGGGACACTGGAAATTACATTTAAGAAATAAAAGAGATATTAAAAAAAAGTGTTTTGTTAAATGCTAAGCAGGCTGGGGGTGGTGGAGCTGGCACAGGGAGATGGAGAGGGAAGAGAATAAGAGTAAGAGCTAGATTTTTTTTCATAAAGAGAAAGAATGCTAAATGTCTCAGAATCCAATTTGAGCATGTTCCAGAGATGCTGGTGTCAATATTTGAGGGACACAGGATGAAGAGTACATTGCTATGTAAAAGTGGATAGGTCTTTTTAAGACTGATTCACTTTAAAGTACAACTTATTTCATTTTCATTTTTTATTTGTTTCCTTTTCTGTATCTTTTAGGACTTTGGTTTCCATAATAAAACTGTAATCAGGATTCTAATTGCCAGAAGTGAAATAGACCTAATGACCATAAGAAAACGGTATAAAGAAAGATATGGAAAATCACTGTTTCATGATATCAGAGTAAGTTTCTTCAGAAGATAACTTCTGGTCTTTTTAATATTTTTATAGTTTAGATAACATGGTTATAATAAATTTAGAATTTGTGATATTTATGTACAAATTCACTGTACCCACTGCCACCAAAGTGGCCAAGACAAGCTACCACTTTCCCTTATGTCACCTCTACTTACTGTTGATTCATTTTTGTCCATAATTTATATTTTTAAATGAAAATAAAAGTTTTTATTTTTAATTTTATATTTTGTATTAAAAAGAATTCAAATAAGTTAACTAACTGAACTCTCAATATCAGACAGCATTGATTGCATCTGCAGTTTCCAGTGGACAATATTCCTTCCACCTCAGTTACAGAACTTTTTCCTCTTTGATACCTTTAAAATAAAAATAATTCATTTAATTATGTAAAAATACCATCCTCTAATTATGTAATTGTGCTTCACATAGACCCAGTTGGGAACTAATCCAGTTTTTTACTAACAATAATAAACTAAAAGTATGGTTAAATTGCCTCTATTAATATTACAGAAAGCATGAAAGTCTATGAAATCTATAAACTTGTATTTTTGATGGATTTCCACTATAGCACTGTCTTCCCATTGTTCATCGATTTTGTCGAGCAGGCACTAGTAAGTTTCCATTGTGAGACTTTGTTGTTACTGTTTTTGGCATATTGAATATGTCCCGGGTATCTTGCCAGGCTTTGCAGTGCAGGCAGAATACTCTCAGTAGCTTGCTGGGCTCTCCAAGAGGGATGGAGGAATTGAACCCAGGTTGGCCGCGTGCAAGGCAAATGCCCTACTTTCTATGCTATCACTCTGGCCCATGAATTTCCACTAGTTCTGTAAAATTCTATATAATGTAGTCATGTTACCCTAGAAGGTAATGTGACAATTACTCCAAATTAAACAAGTTATTTTTTTTCATTCCACTTCAGAAATTCTAAACTTTATGCTGAGTCATCTATGTAATTTGGTGGGTACAGTAGGAACTGGCAAAATTTGACCCTTCATCAAAAAACTATAAAGAATTTAATGATTATACACATAAAAAACCCTTAAATAATCCACTAAAAGACCTCCTAAGTAATAAGTCAGCAAAATATAAAATAAATATATAAAAATCTATTGCATTTCTATACGCAAATAAGACACTAAAAGAGAAAGAAATTAAAAACACAGCTTTAATAAAATAGTTTTCATAGATTTCAGGTTCCTAGAAATCAACTTAACAGGGGACATACAAAGCTTTATATAGAGAGAACTCTAAGTAACTTTAGAAAGAATTAGAAGATGACAACATGGAATAGGAAAGTATTCCATGTTCATATATTATAAATTAATATTCTACCCAGGGTTTTATACAGATTCAATGCAATCCCCATCAAAATGCCAATAACAGCCCTCAAGTACTTAGAACAGATACAACTAAAATTAGTTTGTAATGAAAAATCTCCCTGAATAGTCAAAGCTATTTAAGAGAAAAGAGAAATTGGGTGGTATTGCATTTACTGGTTTTGATTATACTATAAAGATACTGGAGTAAGAATCACCTCTCAGACCTATAAAATAGAAATAAGATCCCAAGATAAACCCCCATATTAACAGACAATAAACTTTTGATAAAGTTATCTGTGTACTTGAAATGTGGCAAAGAAATCCTCCTTAAAAGGTGGTATTGGAGAAACTGGGTAGTCAGATTTTTTTAAAAATTAAACTGGTTCCATTTTTTTTATACCACACAAACAAGTTAATTCAAAATGGGTTAAAAACCTAGAGATTAGGACACAATCATAAACTCCACTGAGTAAATATAAGCAGAACTCTTTAAGGTACATTTACTGGAAGTATCTGTAATGATTTTACTCCACTAGTAAAGAAAACAAAAACAAAAATAAACAAATCAGACTGCATTAAACTAAAAAGTTTTTCGATGGCAAAAGAAACAAACTAAAATTAACAGACACTCTTATGAATAGGAGAAGCTAGTTACACATCATATATCACAGAAGGGGCTACTATCTAAGGTATACAAGGAACTCACAAAGCTCAACAGTTGAGAGAAGGGAAAACAATAATCCCATCAAAAATGAGCAGGAAAAAAAATCCCTAGACACATCCCTGATGAGGATATAGAAATTGCCATTAGGAATTTGAAAATGTCTTTAACATCACTTTTTAGTTAGGAAATGTAAATACAAACAATAATGGGAAACAAATGATACAAAGCAATGTTTACATGCAATTAAAATGAGAGTACTACAAACAACTGGTGTTGATAGCATTGTGGTGAAAATGAAACCCCCAATTACTGTTGGTGAAAATATCATCTGTTCAGATACCATAAGATCTCCGAGGACTGTAATATTTAAAGAAAAAAACAAGAAATAGGCAAGGTTGAATGAGGAGAAGTCCTAGGTCTTTGCAGAACTCAGATTGCCAAGTAATGAATGAAGGTGGCAGCAGGGGAGAAAGAGGTAGAGAAGAGTGATGTGAGGACAGGGAGGGTAGTTGGGGCAGAGGGGAGGTTAGGGTGTCAGGGTTGGGGGAGGGGACTCCTTAGGATCTTTAGTAGTGTGAAATGTAGGAACTTTGTATATAAAGACCATAAAAATGAGCACTTTGTGATAATGTCACCTAAACATCAAAGAATAACAATTTATTTCAAATTTCAGAAAGGCAATAGAAGAATGTTAAACAAAGAACAAGAGTTAGAAAGTATCTTATCAGTTTTTCTTATACCTCAGTACTGAAAACTTGTTCACATTGAAATTTTTTAATAAAATAAAAATACAAAAGTGTATTTTATAAAGAGTGATTCAAAAAAATTTACAAATGATTGACAGAGAGATTACAGGAAAAAACAGGAACTTGGGTAGTCAAGTAATTCCTAAAGTATAAAGTATTGATGAAACAGTCAAGAGAAATATTATTCCCCTCTCTTTGATAAGTTCTCTTTACATCCACGTTGAACACTTAAATTTTTCTGATATTAGACATTTTACATTGAATAATGTGTATCACAATTCATTTTACAAATGAATAAATTCTAATAAATTTACTGCAATTAGTTATAGCCACCTTAAAGTCTACTATTTCCATGTAATTAATGTGATTTTACAATTTGTATAAAGCAGTAAATAACAATTATTGAACTTTGAATAAGAGATCATTGCTAAGATACTAATTTTTAACAAAGGACTCTTCATAATTCCATTTATTATGACTTAAGATTCTTTAAAACACACACACACACACACACACACACACACACACAAAGAAAATCTGGCACAATTCTCCAGTATTACCACATAAGTGGTAATAACATTTCTGTAGAGTCTTCCATTTTTAAATAAATAAACATGTGCATGTTTTAGTACTTAAGAAATAATTTTATTTAATTATGGTATCTTGTATAGAATATAAAGTTCACAAACTACTCCACAATACAATGTTTAAATTTTTCATCTTTTACTATTTTACAACATATTTTTTTCTTTTGGGTCACACCCAGCGATACTCAGAAATTACTCCTGGCTCTGCACTCAGGAATTACTCCTGGCAGTGTTTGGGGGACTATCTTGGATGCTGGGGATTGAACTTGGGTCAGCTGTGTGCAAGGCAAATACTCTACCCACTGTACTATCACTCCCGGTGCATATTTTGCTTATTTTAAGCATAATACTGTGCTTATAAATAGCTGATACATTACTTTCTTACTATATAAGATGTTCAGCTACTACATTAGTGAGTATAAACATTTTCAAACAGTAAGGCAGAATGTAAGTTTGCCTTCTAAACTCTACATTGATTTATAACAATAATGTCAGGGCACTTTTTCTAAAGTTGAGAATTAATTGTACTGAAATAGCTTTATTCTATAAACATATCGTAAAAGAAGAGATGATACAGTGATCAGGGCACTTTTCTTGAATGTGCCCAACCTGGGATTGTTCTCCTTACCCCATATAATCCCCCAAGTCCACCGAGAGTGATCCCTAAAGGCCAAGTCAGGAGTGGGCTTGAGCACCACTGGGTGTTCCCCACTCCCCATAATACAGGAAATTGAAACATCCATATTGCACAGTACATTCATATAAGCTTCATTCTATAAACTACAATAATTATGTTATTTTTCAACAGCTATCACTTGAGATAGTTCTCATGATATATTAAATCTTTAAATGGCAAAAATACATAATTTGAGAATATAGAATGACCCATGGGTATTAATACTATTGTTCAGAAGGATTTCATGTTTCTTTGTGTGTGCGTGTGTTTGTATGTGTGTGTGTGTGTTTAGAAATAAAGTGGCATTTTATTACAAATAACTGGTATTGTTTCTTTCCAGAATTATGCTTCAGGACATTATGAGAAAGCTCTGCTTGCCATCTGTGCTGGTGATGTTGAGGACTACTAAATCAAGAGAATACAAAGGACTGTATAGTCCTCTTTATAAATTTGTCAAAATATAGATTTTGTGATAAATTTGAATTCTTCACATTATGACAAATCTATAAAATTATTTTTCTTCTATGTTTAAAATTAATCTATGCTAAAGAAATATCTATTGATAAAATAGTTGAGACCAGAATTGTACTTATTATCAAAATCAGCAGCAATTCATTACATTGTGTATAACAGGATAATAAAAAAGTATTTCACTGGACTAGATTTAGCTTTGATATGAACTATTAATTACCCACAACAACAGACATCTGTAGTAGATCTTAGGACACCAAGGAAAATAGAATGTATGGCCAATTTCCTTAGAAGAATTACAAAAACTCTTGTACAAATGCAATAAATCTAAATTGAACATTTAAGTCTGTCCCCAAAATGAATTTATGAAATAGAAAAATTTAGCAGGAGATATAAGCTTAACAGAATTTGAGGTGTAAAATAATTTGATGTAAAATGAAGTGTGTATAGATGTGTGTGTACATGCATGTAGAGATATTCCTGTCTATTGCCTGTGTATGTAATTTGACAACTGCTCTAATAAGTGCAATATACCTCTAGCGAATTTGTGCTAGGACCTAATCAAGAGAAGACATTTTTCATTAACATCCTCATTTTGTAGTCTTTTGGAAGTTACTGTATGCCTGCTGTTTTGCGAGTCTCAGAATTCAGTAAGTTAGGTGCAACAATTGACAAATACTCACTGAAGTAAGAATTGGGGGAGAATTCAATTGATGCTCAAATTCAGCTAACAATAAATGTTGAGATCTAGTGGAAGTATTTCATCATAGAGTGCTCCCAACACAAAACGGGATTAACACAAAAACCAAGATCACAGGAAGCAATATTCAATGAAGTAAGGCAGAAGAAAAAAAAATAAGGAAACACACGCATTAAGTTTAGGTTAAATGATAGAAGCACTTTATTTCACATGAGCAATTTTCAATAATCTGCAGCCTAGTCCCCACAGATTCGCTCTTACTGAAATTTAAAAAAAAATAAAATATGTACTTGGAATATGGTACCTGGGAAAAGAAAAAACCTAATATAATTTACACACAATGTTTTGTCAAAGCAGTAAACATTTTAAAATAATTATACTTTTACATAACTTTCAACTTATTGCTATTATTATGTACATCATTTTAAATTTTTTTAATTCTATTTTTAAACATTATATTGCAATATCAAGCTAAAATTTGCACTTTTTTAAGTTCAGCATAGTGACTCTGGGAAAAGCAATGAGGAAACATCCTGACCTTGGTCTTGAGATTTATAGGGTCTCAGTGTTAAACACATACAAACACACAAACACACACATACACACTCTACCTTCAAATATAGAGATGAAAAAAAAGTATAGAAAGAATCAGGTTTGGGGGCATGGAGAGTGTGTGGTATGATGTACAACTTATCTGGAAATTGCTCCAAGGTTTTTTGTGGGAGGAATATCAGGGAAGTTGGGAATTTATGGATAAGGGAGGAGACTGTCTTAAGTTTTACCAGGTTAAATTTGTGGGTATTTTGCTCTGATTTGTTATCAGGGGAAATCAGTGCAGCAATCCCAGACAAGGAAGGATATACAGAGGGTGCGCTGTACATTGTCATAAATGAATGAAGGGTTGTCTTCAAGTCTTACCCATCATATAGAAAGTGTTCTTTGCCTTCAGCCATTTACTGAACTACAAAAGTATGGATGAATTTCTTGTCTATGAATGTTTTCTAAAGCATAACGTTTAGTTTGACACTATCAATATCTTCTCCAATGTTTTTTATTGAATGCTTCACTTAGTTGTTTAAATGCCAGTACAACATTGTCATCTTCATCATCGCATAATTCACTTAGTGAAATACTACAAAAGAATAAATGCTTATGTTATTGTCATCCTTATTCATTCTTAATAATCTTTAGCTGGTTACATGATCCTCAAATGTAGGAAATGTTTACTGTACCTGATGGACTGAAGAACAAGTGTGAAGTCTCTGATTAAATTAAAAGCATCTCCCATATTTAAACTATTAAGAAAAAAAGACAAAATAACATTTAAAATAAGAAGAAAAGGTAACATTTTAAATGATTAATTTGTTTTGGTGTGTTCCTAATATGCAGAAATGAAACAGAAAAATAGCATAGAATTACTGGCCTTTCCAGGTATTAAATAAAGCCAGATATAGAAGGACTGTGAGTAATTGTTCATGCCCTTTGAAACATCTAATATTTTCCAATTGTTAGTTTCACCCTTTACTGACTGAACAAGTAAAGTGTCTCATTATTTGTCTTAATAGAAGACTTTCACCTGAGTGTCCAGGGGTGGGGTCAGGTCACCCCCAGCACCCTAGAGTCTGAGCAGCACATCCTCTGGTCTCACATTGAACCATCCTTGAGCCATCCCACATGTTGTTCAAGTATTACTGGAAATAGCTGTAGACTCTCTGCTTACTGCTTTGGAGACACTCCCCACCCTTCGTTAAAAACAACCAATTCAACGCTTTTACACAGCAGCAGATTATTATTACCAAATATTATTGCAATATTTCACTGTATTAATGTGTCATGAGTATGGTCACTGAAAAAAGCAATTTTAGGATCCCATTTCCCCATAAAGGCTTCAATTCAAATCAAGCAAAAACTACCCAATCGCCTTGGTCAAACTCTGGAAAATAGACTTAACTCTGAATCAAAAATTCAGAAAGGGTGGGAAAGCTTTAGGACATTTTAATTTGCACTTTTCCCACTAGAGCAGTTTAGTAGCAGTTTTAAAAATAGTGTGCCACACAGGTTCTTGGTTTTGAGGGTAGTAAAGCTGGTCTTCCTAACAAAGTACATGTTTGTCTATTTCTACAGGTCCCAGAACTGCCTGAAGGATTGAGGGGACAGAGATGTCTTTGTTTTAACTAACTAGCACTTCCAAAGGAAAAAAAAGAATGGGTATTGCTAAAAGACTGTAAGAGAAACAAAAGACTCTCAGCAGCCTTGGGCCAAAGAGCATACTTGAAGCGGTGCAGCAGATGACTGAAATCAGTGAGGAAGATCTAGGAGACTCTGTCTGTGCAATTAGAGGACCAAGAAAGCCATCCAATTCCCAGAGCCAGACATGTGCTCAGTAAAGATTTGAGAAGACCCTAAGCTTTCCATCTAAAAGACTTATGATTAGTCCAAGCAGGATGTGAATGATAAAGCATGGTTGTTAGTGACAGTACTGAAAGAAGTCCACAAACCCTCCTGCAATGTTACTTCTCCCTCTTGTCTCTCTCCCCCCACACTTCCTATCTTTGAAGTATCTCTGTAAAATGAGAGCTAAATCTTTAACATGGGCAAAAGAAATATACAGTCCTTGACACTGCCACTGCATGATACCTTAGCATTGATAGGTGTAGTGCTGGTGGCCCCCAACATAGCTAGGCCCACGCTACACTGCAGTCAGATCAGGCCAGGTATTGTAGCTAAGCTCCTGAGCAGACCTAGGGTATTGTAGCTAAGCTCCTAAGCTCCTGAGCAGACCTAGGGATGCCTTACTCAAAAATGGGCCAGGAATTGGAATAGAAGGGCATTTCTCCAAAGTATGCATATATGGGGGTGTGTGTGTGTGTGTAGATAAACAGATATGTGTGTAAAGAGAGGTATCTATCAATTCCATATATATGTATACAGATATCTAGAAAAGATATATTTTAACAAAAATATGCTCAAAATCACAATTATTTTTTGAAATGCAAAATCAAAACCATATGGGATATAGATGAATTTAACACCAATTAGAATGATTTCATTTCATTTCATTTCATCATCCTGTTATTCGTCGATTGCCTCGAGCAGGCCCCAGTAACGTCTCTTTCATCCTAGCCCTGAGATTATATTCAAGGCTATTTAGGAAAGTGAGACCCATCATTGTTACTGGTATTTGGCATATTTGGTACGCCACGGGGAGTTTGCCAGACTCTGCCCTGTGGGCAGGCTACATTCGATAGCCTGCAAGTTTGTCCAAAGTAGAAATAAGACAATAAGATGTCATAAAAAAGTTCTGTTAAGATGTCGCGCGGCCGCGAATGCGGATGCGCGGTTCCGGGATCTGGATTTTATAGTCTCTGAGTCTTGGCCGCTGATGGGATTACACGGCGCCAGGGGGCCAGGTGGTGGGTGTGACCCCCGCCTACTGGAATTTGGAGGATCTGGGTGGAAGATGCTCGACTCCAATTCGAGTAGGCGTGGAGGTCTCGGCCCCGGAACCTGCGTGGCTGTGTCCCTCTGCCAGTACCTTCATGGGTGCGGAGAGTGGTCTCAGCAGGTGGTGGCTGGTCCTGGAGGTCTTCGGCTGCCGTAGCCCTGGTCGGGGCGGGGAGGAAAGCTCAACCCGCTCCCCTCCAAGGGACTCCGGGAAGGAACACCCAGGCGCGGGGGCAGAGACTGCACTGCTCTCGTCCGGGATCTGGATTTTATAGTCTCTGAGTCTTGGCCGCTGATGGGATTACACGGCACCAGGGGGCCAGGCGGTGGGTGTGACCCCCGCCTACTGGAATTTGGAGGATCTGGGTGGAAGATGCTCGACTCCAATTCGAGTAGGCGTGGAGATTATTATATTGATGAATAGGATAACAATAACAATAATAAAAAGGAAAAATAAAAGTAGTGAGAAAAATTTGATCCTTTGTATATTGTTGATGGTATGTAAAATGGCTCAAACACTTTGAAACATAGTTTATTAATTTCTAAAAAAAGTTAAAATTTTAAATTTTTTTAACTTGTTGGCTTGACCCAGAAATCACACTCATAGTTCTTAAATTTATGCCATAAAAATTGAAAATGTTTACTCAAGTGCATTGGCCTACATGTTTATAGTCGATTAATTAACAATAGCTAAAAGTTGGAAAAATATACATATAATGGTACCTTTTTTCAGCTACAAATATTAATTATTAAATTTTGATAGATAATTCTATATAAACATTGACATTTTATAG